TCCCCGCCCCGCCCGTCCCCAACCTCCCCCCCTCCCCCTCCCCCCTCCTCCCCCCATACATACAACTCGATCAACAGCGAGTACTCACGAAAGTAGCTCGAGTAAGCCTGCATGTCTACGTGTGTCTCTTCGCCCCGTCCACTCTTTCGTGCCGACATGGTTGTCCGAGGCGGGGGCGACGAGTGTGACGAGGTCGCGCCAAATGGCCAAGGGTCAGTCGGGCGGGATGATGATGGGTCGCCGATCAGCTGGATGAAGAGCTCAAGTGGCGAGAACGAGTTGGGAGCTGGCGATTAACAGAGTGGCGGCGGATGTTGAGGTGGGTGGTGATGCGATAGCCGGTCAGGAATGGTGAGCACGTTCGATGCGCCAGTCAGCGAACTCCCTTACAGCATCAGCATCAGCATCTGCATCTGCATCTGCATCAGCATCAGCATCAGCATCAGCATCAGCATCAGCATCAGCATCAGCATCAGCATCAGCATCAGCATCATCTGCATCTGATACGTTTCCTCGCCACACATCGGCAACATCAACATCATTAGAACCAATCGTGTCGGGAGTACACCAGCCTGTGTCATTCACAGCTAAAATGAAGCCGAGCCGAGCCGCGCGAGCCGATCTGTGTTGCGTCGAGTTCCCAACGCCGTGCCGCACTGGCGAGTGACTCGGCCGAGTCGAGCCGCAAGTCACGCGGACGGAAGGCGATGGCGAGACGGAGACAACGACCGAGACGGTGATAGAAATAGCTACTTGACACGCACACTCTTTGTCCACTTTCTAACATGCATGTACTTGTTGTCATGACCATGGCTATGGTCATGGTCTCTCTCATGGCTTGCTGTGCCCATGGACAGTTCCTCGCTGCCATCCCGCATGCCATCTCCTCGCTCCCTCCGACCGTCGACACGCTGAGCATGACACTGCCGAAGCTTGACATCCATGCATCTCTGCCTGGATTTGCACTTGCGTCGTCGTCTTTGTCTTTGTCTGTTGCTGCTGGTACCGGCGGTTCGTTCCTTCCTTCGAACGCCATTATTCTCTCCAACTCGCCCTCGCTCTACCTTGCACCTGAGCCGCGTCGTCTCCTTGTTGTCCTCGAGCAGATGCAGCTGTCTTCTACTGGTGATCATCGCAGCTGGGCCCATCGCGTGCGGAAGGCTGTCGGCGTGAAGGAAATCTACGCTCGGGGGCCGAACGTTGTGTATGACATGCCGGTTGAGGCGTACGAGGACTTTGCCGCCAAGATCGGCGCGGCTGACGTCGACGCGCATCTGCTGCCGATGCCGGCACAGCCGCTGGTGGCGGTCTCGGCCAACGCGACCGCGCGAGTGGCGCGGATTCGCGATACTGTCCGCGCGCTGCAGAACCCCAACCCGATCATTTCTACGCTCGCCGCGCGTGTCTCGCCGACCAACATCAGGTCAACGCTCGAGTACATCACCGGGGTGACGTCGTCGATCACGACACGCAACTCGCTCTCGCTCGGGGCTGAGGAGGCCGCGACCTGGCTGCGGACCCAGCTCGAGACGCTCGGCTACGATGTTGAGGTCCAGCACTTCAAGTCGGGCTACGCGCCCAACGTCATCGGCACCCTGCCTGGGCGGTTCGAGACGACCTCGGTGGTTGTCGGCGCGCACTACGACTCGCGGTCAAAGGATCTTTACTCCAAGACCAACCCGGCCCCGGGTGCCGACGACAACGGGTCTGGCACGGCGTCGATGCTCGAGCTCGCGCGCGTGCTCGCCACCTCGGGCGTCAACTATGACTACACCGTCCGCATTGGCTTCTGGGCCGGCGAGGAGCAAGGTCTGCTCGGCTCCAAGGCGTACGCCAAAAAGTGCCGCGACGCCGACCTCGACATCATTGCGTACATCAACTCGGATATGGTCGCCTATCGGCCGTCAGCCAACGCCGTCCAGCTGGCGCTCATGGAGCGCGACTCGTCGACCCTTCTCAACGACGCGCTCTTTGCCATCATGGAGCTCTACGAGCCGTCGCTCCGCACCTGCTTTTCACCAGCATGCTGCTCAGACCACGCCTCGTTCAACGGACAGGGCTACCTCGCCACTGGCGTGTTTGAGAACTGCGGGCCGATCCTTGACCCCATGTACCACAACCAGGGCGACGTTGTTGACCGTCCCGGCTTTGACATTGACGGCGAGCTCGCTACCGCCTGCCGCGCCATCGTTGCCGCCACGCTCTCATTTGCCGGCATCGACCCCACGCTCTAACCAGCGCTACCCTTCTTGAACTCATGCATCCATTTTCTGAACCACTTCCCATCCATTCCTTCCCATCGTCTGGCGCCCAACACTGGCCGCCGTCTCCAGCCGGCTTCCCCGCCTGTCACCGCCACCCCCACCCCACTCCCACACCCACCCTCCATGTCCACCACCGTCCCCATTGGCACCTTTGGCACACCCAAGTCATCACCACCTCCAAGACCACCAACGCCACCATCCCCGCCGTCGTCTCCTCCACTCATCATGACCAACTCGGCCACGACGGCGACAACGACGGCCGAGACCGTGACCACCATGTCATCGCCTCTCGTCGCATCGGCTCACACACTCCCTCCGCTTGTCTCGATCACCTTTCCGCTCACCTTTCCTGAGAATGATGACAATGGCGAGACTGCCGATCAATTGCTCGTAGAGCGACTGCCGAGTGCCCAGCAAGTTGAGTCTCTGGAACCTGCCGTCATTCATGCACGACTTGGCGCTGATGACTGGGCTGGCGTGCCGCTCATCTCGCTCGCTCCGGCAGACGCCACCTTTGCTGTCTCTGTTCCATCTCGTGTTTTCCGAGCCAGTGAGAATAGTTCTGCCACACGCCCGACCACCCTGGGAAGAGTCGTAGTCAAGTACGCCCGCGCACCGGGCACGATGGCGGACTTCTTCCGCTCGCAGAGCTACGACGACCATCGCCTGGCGGCAGAGGCGAGGTCGAGTCTCCCAGGCCAGGCGTTCAAGCGGTCAGCACCGCTGGGTGCCGGTGAAAAGCGGGCGCGTGGAATTGCGGGCGGAAGTCGCCGGATTGTGGACGACTCGGTGACTTCGGATGAGAGTTGCGGCGGATCCGAGTGCGATGACGAGTACTCGGACGATGGCAGCGGTGCTGGACTGCAGACTGCAGATTGGGCCATGCCGCCGTTCAGCCTTGCGCCAGACACCAGCTGCATCAGCCGCTCTCTCCCGATCTCGCATGCATCCCGCAAGGAGCGTGAGCGTGAGCGCGACGAGCCGGTGCTGTGGACCAAAGTACCGGGATCGGACAGCGGAGGTCGGCCGGCGCGGATGGCTGCAACGAGCAAAGCGACTCGCATGCTTCTCTCCCGGTCACACCACATCAAGATGTCGGCACCACACGTTCCACTTGTCCCGCTCCCGCTGGTTAAGCCCGGCCTGGCCGACGTCACCGCCTTTGTCACCCGCCTCTTTGAAGAGCGGCCGATCTGGTCGCGGACAGCGCTGCAGGGCCGCATCCCCTGCGCCGCTCACTCGGGCCTCTCCAAGTCGCTGTACAACCTGACGTACACTCCGAGCGAGGGTCCGTGGCGCGGCTTTTACATCCTTCTCGACTACGATCCGCGCGCCCACCAGGAGGCGGTGCTGTGGCAGTCGGTCGACGTCCGGCTCCGCAACGTGACCCACCCGGAACGGCTTGTGGTCAACCGCTCGCTCGCGCACTTTAAGGACGGCCGCGACCGGGTCCTTTCCCGGTTCCAGAACACTGGCGAGACAGAGATTGTCCGCGCCGACGTCCATCCCGACGAGTGGAAGGCGCTGCAGCGGTTCCGCGCCGAGGCTGAGCTCCGCGCGCCGCCGCCCTCGCACCAGCCCATGTACCAGCTCGCCGACCTGATGCATCTCGCCGGTGTGGCCGACATCGTCAACCAGGTCACCAGCCGACCGCACTGCGATCTCCACTACAAGACCGGCTGGCTCACCGCTGCCGAGCGCAAAGCCATCCAAGCCATAGCCAAGGAGACGGCGGTTGCGCTCTGCGAGGCCGCCGCCAGCGGCGGCGCAGCCAGCTAGCTCGCTTGACTTCTCCTAGTCATAGCCTGACGACTCCCACGAGGCACCGGCGGCCGAGCCCGACGCGCTCGGTAGCGTGGCGGCGGCGGCGGCGATGGCGTGCGCTACAGCGTCGCGGACCGACTCGGGTTCGGCGCGACCGGCGGCGTCGCCGTCATCCTCGTCGTCCCAGTCCGACGACTCGGTGTTGTTCATCCCCCCGCGGCGAGCCTTGAGCTGATCAGCCAGTAGCGCCTTGCGCATGCTCACCTCTTCGGAGTTGTGTTCAGCGACGGTGAGCGGCGATGCTGCCCGCGACACCGAATCTCCAGTCTTGGCTGTCCGCGGCCGGTCGTTCACCCACTGGAACTCGGCCTTACCATAGGCATCGATGATGGCGGTCAGCTCTTGGAAGAAGGCCTGGATCGTCGGCAGCGGCTTCTGGTCGCCGGCCATGAACTCGAGCACCTCGTCAAACGAAGCCTTGACCTCGTCGAGCGCGCCGTACAAGTCGCTCAGCCGCTCTAGCGCCAGCGAGAGGAACGAGTCCAAAAAGTTGGTGTACGCCTCGTCAGCCGTCACATCGTCGGCCTCGGGATCCGTCAGCGTCTCAAACTCCTTGTAAATGACCTCGGCCTTGTTCGCCAGCTCCACCACGTAGCTCTCGATCTGCGCCACAGAGACACTCGCGGCAGCCTTGACTGCCGACAGCTCCGACGTCGGCCACATCAGCGGCAGCTTCCCGCTACTTGTACTCTCCCCAGCCATCTCAACCTGCTCAGCCTCACCGGCCGTGTCGTCCTCACCGGCCTCGCTCTCGTTGTCCGACAAAGGGAAGTCGTCCTCTACCAGGCCCGACGAGTGCAGCAGCCGCACCGCATAGTCCATGAGGGTAAACTTGGACGAGACGCCCGAGCGAGTGGTCATGATCTTGGCGAGCGAGCTAAACTTAAAGCCCTTGGAGCCGCCACGCGGCGTGCCCTTGTTGCAGTAGTTGCCGACCACCAGGACAGCACCCATGAGCGACCGCAGGCCGCGTGAGGCGAGAACTTGGTCGCACGCCAGCTGGACAGTCGCCAGTGAGTCAGTGATGTCGATGGCGGCCTCGTCAAACTCGTCAATGGCCATATAGTTGCGAATCCGCGACTCGACCATGGGGACTGACATCAGCGCCATGACCGATTGGTCTGCGATGCTCAGCGCACTCGCCTCGCCCTCATACTCAGAGAACAAGGTCCGCTCCAAGTCGGTTGGGAGCATCTTGAGCAGCTCGGCCAGAAACTCGTTTTTCAGCACCGTCGGGTCTGGCGCGAGCAGCAGCTCCCGGATCTGGTCGGGCGTCTTGTTGATCCGCCGCAGCGCAATGTCGATGTTCATCGGCCGCCGGCCCTCTAGCAGCGACACAACCTTGGACGCAGTGCCCGCGGCTTGCACAGGCTTTGCCTTCTTGGCCTCGGTGACTCCAAAGTACTCTTCGACGTCGCTCGCCTCAAGCTCAAACGCGTCCGGCTTAATCTCGTACCACACTGTCCGGCCGACCAGACGAGGCGGAAGTTTCTTCCACTGCACCGCCCGCATTTTCTTCTTCGGCTTGGTACCGCCAGCACCCTTGAGTCCACCGGAACCGGGCATTGGTGGAGGCGGCGGCGGACCACCGGATCCTCCAGGTGGTGGTGGCGGCGGCGGCGGTGGCGGCGGTGGCGGCCCGCCACCTGCACCAGGCATCGGCGGCGGCGGCGGCGGCCCGCCACCTGCACCAGGCATCGGCGGCGGCGGCGGCGGACCACCGCCAGGCCCTCCCGCCATCGGCGGCCCACCCAGACTCCGCGCCCGACGCTCGTCGAGCCGCGCCTTGCGAGCCTCGGCCCGTTCCTTGCGTTCGTTCGCTCGCGCAATGAGCTCCGGGTCGGTGATCTCGACCTCATAGCCAAAGAGCGTGTTAGAAGCCTCCTCTTCGTCGGCTTTGTGGTCGTTGGTGGCCTCCTCAACCGGTGTGACCGGTTGAGGGGCGGGTACTGCTGCCGCCTTGGCAGAGCTGTCGACTGCCAGATCGGCCTTGGCTGTCGGCGGCGGAGCAGCGTTTGGATCGGGTGTGCCACTGGCGCCTCCGTCGGCACCGGCGGAGGGAATGCTCGCGGTGACAAGTTGAGGCGGTCCAGTGCCAGCACCCTCACCGCTGCCACCGCCGCTGCCGCCGCTCGGTTGAGCAGCCATTTCGGCCGCCGCCGCTCGGGTCGCGGCAGGCATCGCCACAGGCGTGCCCATGTACACCGCGGCCGTCGTTCCACCAGCTTCGCGCCATTGCAGGAACTCGACAAATGCCTTGAACTCATCGGCTGGTACCACGTCCTTGATGTGGGTCATGTTGATGTTTGCGGCCTGGACGACAGCCGGCGGCATCGAGCGCGCCCGCGCTGGCGACGAGTCTGAAACCCGCGATGTCGCCCATGGGATCTTCTCGCCATCGGGCGGCTTAGCAATCGCTCTCTGCGGTGTCTCCATTTCCCTGCCTGTCGCAGCGGCAGCAGCTTTGATGGCAGCAGCCGAAAAGGCTGACGCACCCGAGATCGACCTTGATGCAGTCGCCGCACCACTCCTGGACCTCTTCCGGGAAGCCTTGCTCTTCTTCCGCTTGCCCTTGCCACTTCGGCTGGATGACGTTCTTCCATAGATCATAGCCAACAGTTCCGGCCTTCGCTCAGCTCTTGTCGCGCCGAGTCCTTCCTCCAGAATCCTTTGATACTCGTACCGCCTCGTCAACTGTCTGGCCATTTTTCCATTGGCATCATGCTTGCCCACAGACTGCAACCGAGCAGCACGTTGAAGGACGGCAGCTCCCCAACCAGTCGACCTACGAGCGCGAGACGATCGTGGCGCGAGGCTTTGCGAACGCTGACCTGCCGCACTTCCACCATCGCCGCCAGCACCTCCTCCTAGACCTGGCGCCCGAGGACTGGCTGGTCTTGTGTGGAGGCTTGGGTCGCCGTTGACGCCTACCGGCCACCAAAGCAGCTTACTCTCTTCCATGGTAGTCTTTGTGAGGAAGAGACGTGTGGGAGCAAAGTAGTTGTGTGGTGGACAGTGTACGGAACGACGATAGTCATAGTCATTCGTAGTCAAAAGATTTAGTCATTAGTTAGTCAGTCAAACGTCAATGACTAAGATGGTGATCAAGACGGAGACACCCCTCTCACACGCAGCATGCCCCGTTCTTCGGCCTTGTGGCAGCTTGTCACGCACCAGAACAGAGAGGCTCCTTGCTGCAGGCTCTGCGGCAAGCAGATTAGCCTCAACAGTTTCAAGTCGACCTCAAATATCAAAAGCCACTTCCGAAACGCCCACAGCGAGGTGCTGTCGGCGCTGGACGTTGATGTCCCCACGTCCAGCCAGCAGCTGCAGGCGTACTTCCCCTCGGAAGACCGCTTGAAGGCTGCAAAGCCGCGCGTTGCGGAATACGCGCTCAAGAGCGTGCTGTACAAGCACCGCTCGTTTGCGTCGATCGAAGACCCGTACCTCGCCCACATGTTCGCTGTCGCAGTGGGTTTGAGTGCGACGAGCGTGCGCAAGATTCTACCGTGCGAGAAGCACCTGCGTGAGGGTGTACTCGATCGCGTTTTCCTCAAGTACCGCACCAAGATGCAGGAGCACATTGGGGACGGGCCTATCTCCCTCATCGTCGATGAGTGGACGTCGTCTGGGACGCGCCATACCTTTCTCGGTGTGTGTGCCCAGTTCTACAGTTCGGGAGTGCGCATGACAATCCCCATCGGGTTCAAGGCGCTCACCGCCGATCTCATGAACGCTGTTCGCTCAACGTCTGACGACAGCGCCGAGTACGACACCACATATCTCTCCGCCAACGCCGAGAATCTCGCCAAGGTGGTGAAGCTCTGTGTGACAGAGTTCGGGATTGACTGGGTCCAGGTAGTCGCCTTGTCTAGCGACACAACGGCGCTCATGCCCCGGATGACAAAGCGCTTCCTCGAACTCCCGTGGCATCCATGTCTCTCCCACCGCATTCAGCGCATCGTCGGTGACGTGCTCAAGGCGGTACAGGCTGACAGTGAGCTGGATCCTGCCTTGGTGCAAACAGACTTGGTCTCGAGCCGTGACACGGCCGTACTCGAGATGGGCGGGGTAGGCGAGGACACGGACGACGAGGACGTCGAAAACGAGGATGGGTTCTCGGAGGTGGCATCGTTGTCGTCGTCAGAGTGGCCGACGCTGAGTGATACCGTTGCATCCGATGACTTTGCCTCTGCCCCGCTCGTGGGAAGCACTGACGCAATTTCTAAGCTGCGCCGCCTTGTCTCTTTCATCTCTCGCTCGTCCAAGGCCAAGCGCACGATGCGCCACTTCATCAACAAGAAGAACATCGAGGCTACGCACGCATACAAGTCCGCGCTGAACTCATATGAGATGGATGTCCAGCTTGGTCAAGTAACCGTGGATGACAAACCGTCTCCACCCGTCCTGGTAACATACACGTCGTTGCGGCCGGACGTGAGTACTCGCTGGGGCTCGACGGTGACTATGCTGGAACGGGCGTCGAGGATGAAGGATGCCGTGGATTTTGTTTCGACTGAGATCGCGGGTGCCCCGGCTAAGTTGACCGCGAGCGAGTGGGACGAGGTACATGACGCTGTGGAGGTACTCCTCACGATCAACAACTCGTGCGTCATGTCTCAGACGTCCGATATGTCGTCCTCCCTTTCGCTCCTTACGATGGTGGGGATTGTGGACGATCTGGCAGAGCTCAAGATCAACAACGAGGATATCCCTAGGATCCAACAGCTGTGCGACATCGCCACCCAGGCAGTGTACAAACAGGTTGCGTACTTGTACAAAGAGGATGCGTGCCTCTTTGCTCTCCTTATTGACACGACTGTCACCAAGGACGACCTTATGTATGTCCAGGGAGTTGTCGCCGACGCCAACAACTCGCTTGGTGTGCGCCATCTGGCGACCGCTGCTGAGGTCCACCATGACATGTGGCGTCGCTTGGCAGACGTCCTTGAGCCCAAGCTCCTGGACATTCTATCCACGCTCCCGTCGCATACTGCGGCGTCATCGAGCGGAGCGAGCAACACGCTGCCGCAAGAATCGCGGGACCCCACGTACTTTTCCCCGAGTATGTCTGCTGCCGGTGGGCCATCCAAGGTGGTAATGGCTGAGCCGGCTTCATCGCCACAGGCGCGCTCGCGGATGGCCGCGGAGCGCGAGGCGCGCGCTCGTAACATTGCCAAGCGCGAGAAGAACGCGGGGAAGCGCCTGCGCGCGAAGAGCGTTGATGAGGTTCGCGGCTGCAAGGTGCGAAAGATGACGGTGAACGATACGCCTGCGTCTGTGGCTTCGTTCAGCAACTACAAGCTCGTCGAAGTGTTCTGCAAGGTTCTCACGGCTACGTTGTACAACAGTCGGCTAATCTCTACCTCTTCAAGTTTGTCCGTAGGCGACGTGTTGGCTAAGTTTGAGGACGTGTGCGTCGGTCTCGAGTCTCGCAAGAACTGGAACCGCAAGGCTGACGTACGGCGGATCCAGGTGCTGTGTGCGAGGTTCCGCTTGTGGGGCCAGGGGATCCTTCTTCCATCGGCCTCCGCTGCCAGCGTCGAACGGCTCAACTCGGTGGCGACAGACATGATGACGAGGAAGCGGAACCGCCTCTCGGCTCTGCGCGCCGAGAAGATGATGCTCCTGCGTGCATGGATGCTTTTCGACTTTGAGCTGACGAAGAAACTGTAGTGACGATACGCATCAGCTGTTAGTCATTTAGTCAGTCATTAGAATCAGTTAGTTAGTCACAGTAAGCCGTTCCGTTCACTGGTGGTGGACGCGGCCATGACTGAGCTCGGTTGCTCTGCCTTGGCCTGGCCGTTGTCTTGTGGCACGTCATTCGACGCGTGTCGATTGCACAGCGGACGACGGATATTTTCGGCAGCAGAGGCTGGGTTAGGGGAGAGTGGACACGCTCTCGGTTGCCGGCCGAGCGGTCGCTCTGTTGGCTTGATGGCTTGAGAGAATTCCTCGCATTTACTGTGCCCACCATCCTAGCCAGCACATCTTGTCAATTGGCACGGTGATGCGCGCGTGTGCATGAGCCGTTCGATGGTTCGCGTACACACAAAGTCAAAGTAAGGACTGGTCGCCGAGATGGCGCCCGTCGTCGTCGTCGCGCATCGTCATCAGAAAGGGTGGGCGGGTGGGCTCCCGCTCCGTCGGAGCCGACTGTGTCGACACCATCGGAGCTCTTGGCAAAGTAAGATGTTAGCCGCTTCGCTTCGCTGGCATTGGCCGCGAGAGTTAGCGACTGGTGGCAGTCGCGGCAATGTCTTTTATTTGGCGGGGTCTACCGTGACAATGTCCAACTTGTTCCTTTGCCACTTTGTGAAGCAGTGCGGAACTTCCGTTGCAGCCAGACACGGCTCTTCGCACCACTTCCTCCTCCGTGCACGGTGCGTCCTGCCCATCACACAATAGCCATGTTGGAGCCGAGCCGGTTCATCATAATGTACATGTTTGTGGCCTTTGCGCTGGTCTCGGCGTGGGGCTGTTGCGGTGCTAAGCTCAGCCTCCATGCCCTCAACATGGCCGGAGGCATGGGCGGAACGTCGGTCTTTAACGACCCAATGGAGCGGCCGAGTGCGGTGACGTATGTGGATGACGACGGCAGGAGTCGGGTGGCGCTGACTGGATCTTGCTATGGTGGTCATGTATGTGCTGTCTCGTGCTTACTTGGTGGCTCACAAGCCATGTACTGCCCAGCTGTGGTCGATCTCTCGGCTAACCTCCCCGCCCTGGCCAACATCAACATGACTCGGCTGTCTTCTGTCATTGTCATGGACGACCAAGGTGCGCGTAAGCTGGTCATCGCCGGCGAGAAGCATGCGCCTGGACCGCTCATGCGATCGCATGTTGTGGTGGCGAATCTGACGGTCGGAGGTGGGCTCGTCGCCTCGCACGAGTTTCAGGGCTGCGGCTCAGCCTTTTGCGGCCGAGAGGTGCGAGTGGGCACCTCGCACCTTGGTCACATTCTTCTCGTCTCCAACAGCAACAAGCCTCTGCTCCTTGGCTTTACGCTCTCGGGAGTGTCGGTCATTCCAGGCACTGATCTCACGACCGGCGGCGGCCCGCTCAATGCGGTGAGCAACACCGGGATCGAGCCCCGGTTCACGGTCGACGTCGCTACCGGCCGCGGCCTCGCCATCTCGAGCCACAACATTGGTGCAGCAATGCTTCTCTGCTTTTGGCCGTTTACCATTACTGGAGCGACCACGCGAACACTGTATGGTCACAGCTGCACCACCAGCTACACCCCACCAGTGCCTGCCATCACTACTCCTGTGTTCGACGCGGCCGAGGCGACTACTATGGTCGGCTTTAACAATGGGACGGTGGTCTTGTTCCGCCTCAACTGGTCGACCAAGGTCCTCAGCTCGACTGTGATTGCCGGCATGCCGGACTTCTCGGTCCCACCGCCGGGCTTCTCCTCCCCGCCTCCACCTCAAGGCATGCCGCCGATGCTGTTTGGCGATTTCGAGCTCTGGCCGCAGATTGTGGGCGGCGCGCCGTCGATGCTATTCACCGCATCCGCGTACGGACTGACATATGTGGCGCAGCTTGACGACGCGGCCAGCTCTGTCATCGAGTCCACCAACTCGTCGCACATTATTGGGCTGACGCCGCCGTCGTTCCCCACCATGATCAGTGCCCAGGGTGCCGTAGGGTGGAATGGTGGCCTGTTCCTAGGGTGGGACACGGGAGCCAACGAGTTTTTGCCTGTGGCGCTTGTCACCCCGCCGGCGAACGCGCTGTCGTTGTCGCCGGCTACAGTGGTGCCGCTTGCGTTTGCGGCTCAACCGCCGCCGTTTGGACCAGTGGACGTGCTTGATCCGACACGGATTGGCGGCATGTTCAACGTGTCAGGCGCTGCTGACGACGACCTTGCATGGCTCGGCCTACTCGGTGCCTCTCTCAGCTGGTCGATCACCAATGGCTACCAAAGCTGCGACGTGTTCGAGTCGCGGACAACGGGAACATTTGCGTTTGACCCGCCATGGATCTCGGGCTACGGCCTGACCAACAGTGTTGTGCTCAAACACGAGGCGGGTGCCAACGAATGGGCACTGAGCGTGTCAGACGCAGGCGTGACGGGCGCCATGCTTGGCGAGATTGCGCGGACGGCGCTGTCGATGCACTGCCAGGACGGCGATGTGCGACTGCCTCCGACGACCGCGAAAAACATCACATTTGTCGTCCGTGACATGTTCGGGACGCTTGCGCCGCCGTTGAGCGTGTACATGCCTGAGCCACAAGCAGACGCGATCTTTGCGCCCAAGTTTGTGTCGAGCGCCGGCGAGTGGATGACGGCCGGGCGGAGTGTGACGGTCCGGTCGGCGATCATGGCGGCCGAGGTGAGCACGACAGATGCGACGCGAAGCTCTGGCCTCTTTGACACCTCGCTGACGATGCAGCCCATCGCCGATCCGCGACTCTTTGCTAATGTCACGTTTACCGCTGGCAAGACAGCCGGCTTTGCTGCGTCAGACATTGTGATGGTGGAGACCGGCTCGATTGAGGTTCTCGTTGCTGGGGTTGGTGTCTACTATGAAGTGGAAGCCAATCCAAGCGAAGCCGGCACGTTCTTTATCTTTCCCAGTGGGAGCGCACGACCAGCAGAGCCGCAGCTGTGGGCTGCGCCGTCGCCGCCCCCGGCCAACGGCCTCGACTTTGGGTTTACCGCCACCAACGTCTCGGCTGAAGTTGTGATCGCCGGACTCCGGTCGCTGGCGGTGTACATTGGCGGGAGTCCGGTTGTGAGCGGCATGCGGACGGTTGAGCTCAAATACTCGTACGTGTACAAGCCGCCAGCGCTAGTGCGGCAAGTCTCGATGGGCTCTGTGATGATCGACGTGGCGTTCTCGGGCGTGGGGCCGCCACCTGTTTTCAACATGACGGCGTGCGGAGATGGAGTGGTGAACGGTGACGTGGAGGCGTGCGACGACGGCAACACCGTCAACGGCGACGGATGCAGCGATGGATGCGTGGTGGAGCCCGGCTATGAGTGTTTCATTCCGCCGATCGGATCCGCGCCACCGACGCCGCCTGCGCCGCCCTCGCCGCCGATGCCACCGTCTGTACCGCCATCGCCACCTGCGCCGCCGATGCCGGTCTTCCGTCCATCGGTGTGTGCGACTGTGGCGACGAACCCGGGCCGTGAGCAGCGGTCTGACTTGTTTGAGATCAACACCGATCCGGCTACGTCCACGGTGGCGTGGACGGCGTACTTTCTGGCGGCGGTGGCGATTGCGGTGGCGGCGATGACAGTGTACAAGCGGACGATGAACTCGACAGAAATGCCTGACAACCACGTCAAGGCCTCGCTGTTCACCAAGCTTGTGCGGGAACACTCTGTGCTTGGCATCATCTTTGTCCACCGGAGCGACCCGTTCGCTGCGGGCCCACGAGTTGTAGCGCTTGTGCTCCAGCTCAACATCACGTATGCGACGTCTGTGGCGATTCTCATCATGTTCAAGGATGAGGAAGGCTCGATCACCGGGTACGCGCTCTCTGCGATTGTTTCGTCGCTGCTTTCGGTGCTGATGGGACTTGCGCTGTTCAAAGCGCTGGTGCGGTCACCAAGGCGCGCGTGGCGGCGCTGGCGAAGGCCGGCGGAGTGGTCTCTGCACTCTCGTTCTCTGCGCTCAACGCGTTTCTCATTCTCGGCAACGAGCTGTTCCTGCCCAAGACCCTTGTCGACTACCACCAGTCTGTCCTCATTGCGTTTGCGGCAGGGCTCTTTACTGACTTTACAGTTGTTGAGCCAGTGACGATTCTCATCAAGCGGTTCCTCTGGCTGGAGAGCTCTGTGTTCCAGCTCGACGAGAGCCCCGCGGCTTCGCCATACAAGTCTGCGGTGGCGCCGATGGAGACGTACACCGAACCAGGTGATGCAGCTGCCGGCCTGCCGTCGTCTGCGACTGCGCGGGCGCAGTTTTCTGCGGCTAACGCGCGGCCGCAGGCGCCATCACAAGGCCGGCCAATCCGGTCGCGCAAACAGTCGCCCTCTGCGCCATTTGCACACAATGCGACTGCGGGCTCGAGCCCGCTGCGGCGGGTGTCTGCATCGCACGCTGCAACGCAGCCTGTGGTGCTTGCGGCGCCGGGCCCGAGGCCGGGCTCTGTCACAGCCGACACGTTTGTATTCCAGCCGCACGCTTAGCAGTGTCAGTTCCGAGGCTTGGGTTTCTTGGCCTTGGGGCGGACGCCAAATGCGGGTGGTCTGTAGAATCGAGCGTCCTCGATGGAAGGGTCGTCGCGCAAAGTGTAGGTGGCGTTGGATGGGGTACCATCCTCGTGAAATAGTTCGTTGAAAGGGAAGCGGCGGGCGTTGAGGCGGTCTGTGTCGTGCCAGCCAAAGTCGTAGTCGAGGAGGTCGTAGAGCTGCTCTGAGTACGGGGCATAGAACTCGTCGAGGAGGCCGCGAAGCTTAGGATCCATGATGTGGTGCGCCTTTTGTGGGTCGGCGTTGATTGGCCGGAAGGAGCCATTGGGAAAGTCGAACGGCGGGAGACCAAGGTGAGCGAATACCTTGCGCATTGTTTGCTCCTCGTCGGCGTAGAACTCGGCCGAGTCGATGATGATCCACTGCGGCGAGAGCGGAAAGTCGCGGATCCAGCGGCGAAAGTGGAGAACGTACATCGACTCGTAGATAAAGTCGCGGGTGCCCTCGTGGTCCGAGGTACACATGACGTTGCCATGCGAGCCGCGCTGGCAGCGGACAAAGTCCTCAAACTTCTCGCGGCCAGTAAAGCCGTCGTCGGTGTAGCGGACCCGCATGTTGAACATCGAGTAGAGGCGGTCGATAGGGTTCCGCAGCATGACGATGAGCCGGAGCCGCGGAAAGATTTCCTTGACAAGCTCGGAGACGCCGTAATCTGCGAGGTAGAACGGACAGCCGAGGCCGGTGATGCCATGCTCATTGGCGCGCGGGATGAGCGGGAGGCGACGGCGGAGCATGTCCGGGTCGGCGACGTCCGAGCCGGGAATGCGAACAAAGCGGAACCAGCAGAGCTCCTTCTTGAACGGCGAGTAGACAGCCGGATGATTTTGCATGTAGGTGTACATCGACGAAGTGCCGCCCTTGAGAGTGCCGATGATGTTGAACGAGGGCATACACACGTGCTGGTCGCGGTAGGCGAGGACGTCCGGGTAGTCAAACTCGGGGCTGTAACAGAACGGCAGCTCCGCGCCATTCCACGTCAGTGTATCATTGGGCTTCTGGCCGATCCATGTCGCTGCCGTCGGCAGCGGGTCTTGATGAAGTAGTACGTACTTGCGTCCTACAGATTGTGGCCTGGGAGGCGGGTCTCTCCGCGGTGATGGGGTCTTCGGCCGATCGACGGTGACCTCGGCTGTACGAGGAAGGGGGAGAGTGAGTGAGGGGGGGGGGGGGGGGGGATATAGATGAGTGTGGCTGATCTGGAGGATGTGCATCAGATCGGCGGTGTCGGGTCTAGACCGAGCATCGTGGCGCTGTGTTTTGCTGGTTGCGTGCGAGGACGCTGGCGATGCGCCGGTTACGTGCCAGATTACTGGCGATACGCCGGGCGCGTGCGACGTTACTTGTGCTACGCCAGTCGCGTGCGAGGACACTGGCGATGCGTTGGTTACGTGCCAGATCACTGGCGATACGCCGGGCGCGTGCAAGACTACCCTCTGCTACGCCGACCGTGTTGCAACTATAAACTCGCAAACCGGGCCACTTGCAACGTTGCAGGACATGGATGAACACGTCAAAGGGACGACATGGAGGAGGGAGACGGGGAAGGGGAAGGGGGGGGGGGGGGGGGGAGGGATTGAGATGAGAGGGACATGCGCGGGGAGTGCACATACACTGATGACGATTGAGTGTTGGTGGTGTCGTGAGCTTGGACGAGGGGAGGAGGGAGAGGAGACAGCCAAGAGCCACCATGGCTACTACCATAAGTACAACCTTTTGCATGGCTGAGCAAGGTAAGGAGGGGAGCTAGCTGTCTGGCTGGCTGGATGGTCAGCAACTGGCGGAGTAGGCTCTTTGGCTGGCTATCGGCGGAGCTGTCTGACGAGTTGAGTGCAGGTGCGCTGTCCGCTCGCCCCTGGCTCGGGCGGGAGTTGGGCTGCTCATGCCGCCACATGGCTAGTCGTGCCGGACCACTCGCTGATGCCAGCCATGATCATCGATTGCGATGGTTGTAGTAGGTTGTGCTAAGCTCGATGGCCTCCCCATTGGCAAAGCTTGCGGATGTGGTCGGGTTCTAGATGAGGCTGCGTGGGAGTTGGCGTGGTGATGGCTGGCGTGGTGGTCCGTGGTGCGCATGGACGGGGGTGCTCTTGCTCTTGTGGCATTGCTTGCGATGATTCGACGGCGGTGCGTGGTGGCGGTGCGGTGGAGAAGGAGGAGGAAGGCATTTGGCTTTACTGCGGCTACTAGGCCTCGGTCATGGCCGCGGGCGCGCCGTCGTCAACAGGAACGGGCGCCGGCTGAATGAGAGCGATGTTGTTGCCCTTGAGCAGAATGCGGCCAATGTCGACCGGCTCGCCGATCCGCTTGCCCTTCTGCAAAGTGATCTCTGCCGCGTCAGTGAGCGTCAGGTTCATAAACTCGTCGTACCCGATGATGACGCCCTCAATCTGCAGCTTAGTGTTGTCCCGCAGCCAGACCAGCACCCGCATCTTCTGGACCAGAAACCGGAAGATCAGGTTCTACACCCTCGTTGTCCAGCCCCAATTCACCACCATGCCCAGGTGTCCATCACCACGCCCAGTTGTCCATCGTTCCACCAACCGCAGCAGCAGCCATCGCCCGCAGCCACAGCCCGCCACCGCCCGCCACCCACGCCCACACATACGCACAGCATAGTCACCCCCCCCGTACCCCCCCTCCATCCACAACCACCCACCCACATACACACACACACACACACAC